GAGTTTATCCCGAGTATGCGACTCCCAAAGCGGTGGATGCTAACTGAAAAACGTTTAGGGAATGAATACAGGAAGCCACTCTTCAACATCGAAGAAAGGTAAGGAGGAAATTGCCTCAAAGGTTATTGAACTGAAGGGTAGGAAGTCCTTGTCAAGATGGTCGCCCTTGGCTTACGATGAGTAGTATAAGACATTTCCCTTACTGGTTTGTGTTCATCGCTGTGTGTGTGTATTATTTATGTTACATATTGTTGTGCATCTAGATGGGGTGTTCAATGGAAAATTCTTTATGTGAACGAACTTCACTGACAGACAAAATAGATCAAATATCCTTTCAAAAGTGTGCAACTATTCAGCATGCGTATTGCAATAACTCCGTCAACTCAAATAATGACAGTTAACAATTCTGCAATTAGCTCGTTCCCACGAACAACCACGAACACACTTGGTAAACATGAAACAAATATCAAGGTGAAAGCAACAGGAAAATTCTGATTATGGGAAAAGATGAGCTCACATTCTCACTTATCATTTTCATTTTTTTCGGTATATCTGTGAAATAATGAAGTTTCGAAAAACCATTTACGGTTCGTGACCAGTTGTACCAAATTCTACATCATTTAAAATTTATGCATAAAGTCCAACAGTGCCGGTAGGTTTCTTTAATTTAGTAACACTCTTCACCTTGAAAATCAGTCAAGCGTGGAACTTTTACCGGGACTGAAGCTTATCATTCAAGTAAAACGTGAAAATTTTGCTTTTATTGAAACTAGATTGGTCTAACTTTACTCATTCTACGTAATGTCATGTAATTTCGTACAGATCCAAATATATATCTGAAATTAAACGATGCGATTTCGTTCAAAATATACTATATTTCATTAGTTTCCATTATTTCGCAACTATATTCTTTGTTTGCAGTTTATTCTAATGAATCTGAATGAATAATCTTTTGTGAACTCAAGCTGTGATTAGCGCAATTCCATTCGGATCATTTTTATTCATTGTGGGAAACAGAAGCTGTTTTCCTCATACAAGTTCAACCCAAAATCCAGCCGGAATATGGTTATCATGATCCCTCGGAACAAACGACAACATGAGAAAGAATTCAGTTGTGGATAAGTAGAAAAACCATCAAGGTTAATAAGACCCAATCTATCTTGTTTTTTCTTATCGGAATAATTTTTTTTTCTCCACAAATGGCAGCATTGAAATCCGAATGATTATATGTGTTTAGAGTTTTAAAACTGGGGAGAGTGAGAAAGAGAGGAACAAAATGGACGCACGCGACTTGGTGAATATCATTTAAGTAGGAGTGATAGGCTTTGAGCAAATCGCCGCACGGCGTGACAGACGAACTTTGTTGCGTGATATGTGCTAATTCGATGGACCGGACAACCTAACTACGTATAGTGGACAGTCACGTGTTCATATTTTGATTTCTCAAGCAATATCAAATTTCTGCTCACTCCTGTCGTGACCTTCGCCATGAGTACCTACAATCAGTGCTAGAGTTATTCTTTAAATCCAGTGTATTACACAAACGTGTACTGTTAGTCACTCTGATCCCTGTCCTATTCGATTCCAAAAGAAATGAAGGGAAAAGATAATGAGTGAACATTTCAATGAATTGCATTACCAGACTCTTTGTATATGTAAAAAAGCAAAAACCAGTGACCGAACCCGAACACTATTTAGACTTCATAGTACCTATCCTAAAACTGTTTTGTCACGAAAGCGGAACATTTAAACCAAAACTTAGTTTTCTTGTAGCCAGCAGTCATTCCTTTGGCATTACATGATATATTTTTATACATAAAATGGTTTGATAATCAAAATGGAATCCTTCAATAAAGTCGTAGTACTCAGAATACCACGGGCACGTTAAGTGGAGGGTATGTTTAGCGAATAAGGAGTCGAAAATTCGATTCATCGATTTCGAATCAAAAGTAATCAATGGCTTCAGGTCATTGTTTTGTTCGAAATACTGTCTACCGGACTTACCAGAAATCTGGTCTGATTTCGGTGATGGAAGGTATGATCGTTCTTCACCGTCCCATCACAGTAACTAGAATTACACTGTACAATCTACTGCCTAAGTTGCACATTTTTCCACAAGTTAACTAATGAACTACAATCGTTTTAAACAGCGTCTTGGTTATTTCGTTAATGTACGGTGAAACGCAGAAAATAGTTTGTTATCCCATTTATCTACCATTTTCCCATGTTTAAATGTTTATCCATCTTATTATTTTATTCTGTATCCCATTCCACCTGCCCCCTAATATTGTTATTGCTATTGTTGTTGTGACACCATGCTTGTCTACGAGCTGGTGTCAAATATATATTATATATGTTGCAATAATGCTCATTGCGATTCCTAATCGAGCTTATAGACGAACATTAATCACGTGTTTAAATAAGCTGCTTGATTTGTCTCCGTTTAGAACCGTTAGTCCTTAAGTACCAATACGTTGCGAAAGAATCTGCGGCTTTAAGTGATGAGATCAATATTATGCTATTCCGCATTTACATGTTTTCCTTATTTAACATCAATGCAATGAACTGGTTCTTCTCCTGTAATATCAAGTCTCAATGACATCTAACTTGGTTTTCCAAAAATATTATTTTTGATGCAAAAAAGGATCTAGAGAGTAACATCAGTTAAGTGCAAAAAATGCCACAGAATCATTTCATAAGAATTATAATCATTGAAAGAATCTTGCCTGCAATTTATCACTTGCACATACTCATTCGAAGTGAGTACTACACTAATAAGTCAATTCAACGTTTTTGATAATAAGTGAAGCATGAACCGAAACAGTTCACCTGCTTTCAACTTTGTCAAGATTCCTGTCCAGATCTATCAGCAATGTTCAAGCTTTCTACACTTTTAAGTGAGTGACTTAATGAACCAAACAACACAGAAGTGAACTGTGCGACAATGAGTATTTGAGTCCTCCCACCAGTGCGAAGTTTCGACAACCGCTTGTTCAGGGAGGTACCATATTTAGATCCGCAGTTCGCCAATGCTGTTGAGCCCTAGTACAAGATGGGTTCATTGTCACACGGCTGACAGTCACAGCGTATCCATCATTTTGAAGTTTTACCTAACTTATTTAGTGCTGGTTCTCGTGTTAATGCACACCATCAGTTCTGTAGTTCAAATACTATAACAGCTGTTCCATATTTCTCTCTCTAGTTTTACAAAAACAAACACGTCATATTCGCAATACCCTTACACGATTCCTCTTCTTCAGTCACACAAATTTAATGAATGTCGTTGACAGGCTCACAACAGAAGAACATTTATCAATAAGAGAGCAGTTAATTAGCACTATGCACATTTTATCCACGGGCCTGAGCCAACTACTTTTATCCTTTGTTATCTGGAACTTTTCTTGAAGACGTTAGGCAAAGTGCAATACGGATTATCACACGAGGGATGCACTTTGAGGACTTTGAGTATCCTTTGATTCTGTACCGAATAGAAACAATCAGCAAATCTGTCTCTATCCCACTCTCAGTGATCGCTGATGACAATAATGATTGGTATGCTAAAAAGTATTCTTTTTTTATTATTTGCACTGATTCGACGTACACCTTCACTCATTATTTAATTCAGACTAGCGCTGCTTTTCATGCTCGAATCCATTTGTCTTTTGTTCTGCCTGCGTTTTTTACTCAGTCTTCAATAAATTTATGAGTTTCCCTTGCGATCGAATTTCTTTCACTTTACAATGCATTCCCATAAAATTCGAGACCCTTTAGGTTTTCCAGAGTAATTTCATTGTGGCTTCGAATACTGCATCAGAGAACTCACAATAAAATCCACTACAACACAGTAATTCTAGCCTGGGACCCTGCCACATAAATGAAAGTTTCTTTTCGGATGACGCACCATTTGAATGTTAGTGTGTCACTCTCTTCCGTTCCTTCGTCTATTTCTAACTTCCTTTCATTTTGTCGATATTTTCGTTGTACTGTCCCTCCTCGGTGCGTGTTGGATGTCGCCTAACACATAAATCTTTATTTCATTTTGGGACTCTCGTGTGCGTACAACTTGGCAAATTTAGCAAAGTGCAGTAAATCGAGTCTCTTTTGTTTGGGTTCCTCATTTCCCGTTCGAATATTTCGTTTTTTTGGATTCTAATAAGAGTTTCACTGGCATTGGCTAGTATTGTGCTGAACTTCACAATGTTAGCTTATGATTGTTAGTGCTGATACTGATTGCCCACTATCTCAGAATGAGTGCTGCATGCGCGATTTTTAGTTGAACTTTTTCATTAAGAAATAGGCATCTGGCTATGCCATGGACAGAGAAGCAACTGAGAGAGGGGGGGGGGTAGAGATGAAAGTTAAGTTGCCCTACGGCTATTAGATGATTCAACAGTTCGGAAACGCGCACTGTTGAATGGTAAATGTAGATGATGTTCTTTTGTAATTTAATCCGGAGAAAGGTCAAAATAAAACGTTCGACTTTCCTTTGCCTGGTGTGCAGACGATTCTGGAGGCCGGGATGAATGGGTTTGTGAGGTTTGGTCATTTTCTGTCATTTGATCCGGTTTTGCGGTGATTATAGTGCTGCTGAATTCGATACTCAAAATTCTGTTTATGATGAATTGAGTCAGCCTGTGTGATAATAGTTCACATGAAACCGTTTTGAAAAAGAACTACGAAAAGTAAATAATTATATCTGCCCTTTACACGCAAGTCAAAAACATCATTACTTGAATGAAAAATTCCGAAAGGAAGGTGAACTGATTCAAGCAATGTAACTTCACCAATGTTTAAAGCAGTTCACATCAATGATTACTCGCGTAACATACAACTCTCCGTGGGATGAGGCTGACTGAAAGCTGACAACACATTGATGTCTTGTTCTAACTATGGAGTTTTAATGGATTTTTAATGATATAAGACATATCTTGCTTTTGTACTATGATTTTTGTTCTTCACATTTTTCATTGTTTCAATATCCGAATAAAGGTATATTTATTTCACTTACCTTTTGTCAATACATGTGTCGCCAGTTTGACTTGCGAAAAATTCCCAGCACCGATTGTTTCCTGTATGTTGTACAATCCGAACGTGCCCGCTGTATGTTGCCCCGGGCAAACGCGGTCTCTCAAATCGGGTTTAGGTGTGGGTTTGGGGCAATTCGAGCTGGAATTGGACGGTGGATTGTTATTTGCTATCCTACACGGAGCTGTTACATCCCGCACTTTCTGATCTTGACTGTCTAAATCCGTCGTACCGATCAGAAGGGGACCTAAATGACTCGGACACGAAGGAGCCGATCGCATTTTACAGGTCGAACGAACCGATTGTTCCATTTGCTCGGAATTGGACGATTCTGGACTGCATGAATTGTGCTGATCCAATTTCGAAGCGATGTGTATAGAAAAAGGTCTGACTTGTTGTGTTTGGAAAGGTGGTAATTGGGCGTCCGAACACTCATCACTGCCGCAACTGGACGTGTGCAATAGCACTGGTTGTGAAGGTGCCGTGTGCAGTTTCGGCAAGTTCGATATTAATGGCTTCTTTTTATGCATGTTGACCACATTCACCGAGTTCACCGACGGGCCCGTACGGGATGGTGTAGGCGGTTGTTGACGTGAAACGGGATTTGTTGGGCTAGATGACGGTGAATTGCTCTTGGGGAGCGAACGGGCAGCCTGAGTGTATGAGTGCGAGGGAACAGTTTGAGTAATCGGTGTCGTATACTGCTGGTGTCGATGATGATGTTGATGCTGGTGATGGTGCTGACTGCGTCTGGTCGTTGATTGCTGAACATCTTCGGATCGAGATGACCTTGATGGAAATGTGATACGGCTGACCGAGGAACACCGCTCTGACGTACGATCCGAATCGACTTTTCCATGTCCCTCACGAAACGCATCTACTGCAATTTTGCTAAATTGTCTGCCCAAATTATAGGTCTCATCATCACCTGATGCAGATCCAGTATGTTCTTTGACTTCCATTCCCATAGTGCGAGAGCTTGGAATGAGTGAGGCATCAAACCAATGATTTTGAACAGGATTGCTTCGTTTTGAATCTTCTGTATTACTCCGGCTTGGTTCAGTCATTCTTAGTCCAGTTCACGGAAGTGCGCTGAATAAAGAATGTAGATAAACANNATTATTATATGGTAGTTGTTTACTCTGAAGTCATAAAGGTACGCGGAATCTCATGGTAGAAAATATAGGTGTAAACTTACCGTTTAATTACTAATCACCGGTACATTGGTTTTTTACAGTTAACAAAAATAAGCAAAGCAAACAAAATAGATGATGCAAAATCGAAGTCAATGGCGCTTTTAGTCCCGAATCAGGCTGATTGTTTCACATTGAGATATGTTCCATCTGTTAATCGGTTAAAATTGCTTAAAGCTGTATTGTTCCATGCCGTAAATAACGAGAGAAATGACCAGATTAAATTGCTTTCTCAGACGAAAGGGAATACCAGTGAAAGGCAACCGGTTATGTCTAGGTGTGTCTACCCNNNGTCTACCCTCACATATAGTTAAACCTCCCAGATTGCACAAGTGCGCAACGGCTCAGAGCTAAACCAATCATAGTTTGGAGCTAGAAAGCAGGTGGTAGAGTATGAAATCTGCTCACTGACTCAATATTTTGGTCTAAAACCAATATGTTGACCACATTTCTCGGGTTCGTTTTGTCAGCAATTTCAGTAATCCGATGAAAGAGAAAAGAAAATGATACGATAAATTACTCTAAAAATAAACTTATTTCAAAATATCTGTTGATTTAAAAAAACAAGTGAGACTAAGCATTGATTAGGGGAGAAATATTTTCACAATCATGGTTTCCGGAATTTTCTAACTTCCCGGAATTTTTTTGTGTAACGTTGAATAAAACACATAGCATTCAATAGTAAGAATTGGATTCCTGGGTTGATGCATGTATGCAAAAACAGGAAAGCACGTATGATCATTATGTTGGTATAATGACTACGGTTGTTACGCTATTAACGTCGCGTATTTATCACCCCTGTGGAATTATGTTTCCATTTTGTTGTGTGGCAGCCTGTTGAATGGAAGCTTCTCACACCCCGAAATTTGGTTGTATCGTTACTTATATTCAATAAAAACAGGAAGTAATACGAAAGAGAAAACAAGATTAGAGTATCAGTAAACAAATTTTATCGGAGAAAATAAATCAATCTTTTTACCTCATGACCCAAGTAATAAATGGTAAATCATCATCCTACCCTACTTCGTACATAGCCAGATCCCCTTGATTAAACAAACAGCACGCACCTCAACATTTTACGGACGCGGTCGACTTTGACCTAAAGGATTGAATCGGGGAACACGAATAACAACAGTGAACGCATTGGGTTTTCTTCTGAAGCGAAACATTTTTATTCAGTAACGCACAATGCGGTTCTTAGAGCACATTCAGCCTGACAGATTTGTGCAATAAAAAGTTTCCGTTTGGGACCAATTCCGGATTCAACTGCCCCCGTTCCAGTCGATGGATGGCCTGAATTAGGACGAAAGCAGTAAATAAAACGTGGAGTGTTATTTCGATTTGCTTTTCTCTGGCGCTCATTCACATTGATTTTCCTATAACCATTCCGTTGTAAGCTAAAGTAAGATTGAAAAAGAAACTCTATTATGAATAATGCTCAGTAGATCTGTTCAACTGTTTGTCACACCGTGACCCACTGATTGAAATTGAAGGAAGTTGCCGCCCAACCCCGACCCCCGTCCCCCAACCCCTCAGACTGAATAAAGCAAATTTGATTTGCTTTTCTTGCTAGCTTTTGATAAACCATAGCTATCTTCGTCCTGAGCACAAGCAATACGCTTTTTTACCTTTCCATGGTAACGAAAAGATTCATATCATTATTGTTATTATTCATACTGTCAACAGTTCTGAAATGAATAAATTAACTCTCTACTCTTCAATGACATCTATTAGTACCTCGAGTACACCTATCCAGATAGACCTCATCCCTTTTACTTTGGCAAAGGAATACCGTTTCTCATTTCTCATTCTCGATTTTAGGAGGTATCCACAACTCAAAAGTAATTAACCTAATTCACTACAAGTCATCGAGTAGGTGATATAGTTGTGACGCACCCGATGGACCAATCATTGCTCCATTTATTCCGATAATATTCCATGGAGTAATATTGCTTATAAACGTCCAGAATATTACTACATACTGAGTGAACCAGTTGTCTGGACATTTTGGTTTGGTGTTTTCTTTTACTCCAACGATTCGAGTTTTATGGGTTTTGATGCCTTCAACTCAGCTTCAGGGGATTTCCTAAGGTTGATTGTTTATCGCTTCCAATCAGAGAATTAACGTGTAGCATTGAAACGTTTACAAGTCAGAGGACAAATTACAAAATAAGCTCATTTTCAGTAACTCGTTAACTATTCACATACAGCACAGTTATGTACATCTTATACGTAAAATGATTTAAAGAATGCAAAACAAATCATGAGAACGTGGGTGGGGCTGAACCGCGTTTTCACACCAAATTGAAGTACGGTCAGGTAAGCACTGATTCCATCTCATTCCCTGATTTTTTGCGGTGTTCTTGCCATTTCATTGGGTTAGCCATGGCTAAACAAAACCAGTTTACATCCTCAGTAGTTGCTTCTAATCTCACAAAAGTACGAAGGTTGATCAGTTGGATCGCAGTCACCTTCACAAACAAATGATGATGATCTGCCAAATGCTTCGGTCGCAGTCCACTTTGAGTAGGTCGGAATAGGTCGATGCATTCAGATTGACCAGGTGATGAGTCTCACCTACCCGGCAACAGATCATGATTGTTCCATTGTTAACTGACCCGTTACATGTCATATATAGCACAGCCCATCTTTGTGAGCTTAGCACAGTTATCATATCTCCAGAATCTCAGTACTGACCCTCATGATAATGACTCAGTCAGAAACTTCAAAACCTCATTACATTTTGCACAGCAGTAATAAAGGAGTTAATTCCACTAAAAGATGAAGGCTTCGTATATATTCGAAACAAAACGATCTGATCAGCTACCTGATGATCGATTGGGTAGTATGCTTGCGTTCTACCTATGAGGTCCCCGGTTAGATCCCCTGTTCGGTCAACGGATTCTCATTGCTGATGACACCCAACCAGATCAAATTGTTTTTCCAGTGCTTCCTAGCTTTTCAGCTCACTTTTCATTTACATGATTAATGCTCCAAATAAATGATGGTTACTTTGTGCCAAATGCTTCTTGGCATCTAGTTGAGCTACGTACAGTAGTCCACCAGCAGTTGGCTCGTTGGCGATCACTGGATTTATCATACGTGTATGAGTTACATTCATGAAAGGGTGCACGGAGAACAAAATCCTGTTGGACGAAAATGAGCAAAGATGAGAAAATTTTGTGTT